CTCCAAGTCCAATCACTGCTCTTACTCAACTTCCCTGAAAAGAAATTAGTCCTAATGCATGCAGGGAGATCTTCTTTTAGAAGGTCCCATTCCCCAGGTGAAACAATAACAGGTCTCATTCAGGAGATCACTCTGGTTTCATTATATAAGACTGCTCGCACAATGGTTTTTGTATTAGACCAAGGGGTCTGGTCAGATTTCTTTGGTATGGCAAAGGTTACTTTTTTCAGAGACATTCAAAAAGGTTATATTTTGCTATATTGATCCATTTTCCACAGAGATTTATGACTGTATGTATCTCATCAAAAGGCCAAGAAATATTTCTTGACTGTGTATATCAATACCATGTGGATTTTGGGGGCGTATTTATACTTTGGGTCCGTAGCGATACATCTTCAAGGTCACAAGAATAGAGTGAAATTCATTCTATGCTTTATGTGTTTAGGGGTCTGAGAAATTGGAAACAGCACCCATGCCTCCGGGAGCTCCGGGGGGCTCAGGAAAGGCAGGAGTCACTGATGTATGCCAGTTTGCTGGTGGGTCAGCGAGGTGATAAATATACAAGGTTGTTGGGAAAGATGTGATGAGTTTAGTTTTAGACATGCATAATTTGTCGAACCCAAGGAACAAGCTACAGACTTTGGAGCTAACACCAAATAGAGCTAGCTGAAGCTCTGGGCATGAGTGAGAGCACAAGAGAAAGCACGTGGAATGAGAAAATGGAAGGGTTTAAGATGGAATGTCTGGAAACACCATAATTTAGGGGGCCGGCAGCAGAAGAGAAGCCAGCCAAGAAACAGAACAGGACAGAGGGAAGTCACACACACATTATGGAAAATGGGCAGCGCAATGGGCATTACTACATGATACAGAGAGACTGCGTCGATGAGGACCTGAAATGGACCTTTAGGAAAATTAAAGAAATACATAAAAATATCAGCAGCCCAATTCCTGACTGGTGACATGCCAGATGGCTTATTTCCCTCTTCCAATTTTGCTGCATTTTCTGCATTCTGCACAATAAATATCAGTTACAACATATAAAAAAATAAAATACTCTGATAAAGTCTAAAATATTTCATGAGAAAAAAGGGGCAGGTAATTATTAATTCACAAGTATTTGAGCGCCTGTTTGTGCTGGGTACCATGCGAAGGATAAGACAACCAACAAGAGGATAGCTCTGTTGTTTTACAGAAAGGAAGGGCGTGACAAAAGGGAGGGGTGTGGAGCTCCTGGGGCCCAGTCCCAGGAAATGAGGCTGGAAAAGTAGCTTGGTGCCAGATCATGATGGATTTTTATATATTTTGTTAAATAACATGGACTTTATAGGGTGCCTGGGTGGCTCAGCGAAGTGACTCCTGATTTCGGCTCAGGTCATGATCTCAGGGTTGTGAGATGAAGCCCTGTGTCCGACCCACGCTAGGTGTGGAGCCTGCTTAAGATTCTCTCTGACTATGGACTCTGAGAAACAAACTGAGGGTTCTAGAGGGGAGGGGGGTGGGGGGATGGGTTAGCCCGGTGATGGGTATCAAAGAGGGCACGTTCTGCGTGGAGCACTGCGTGTTATATGCAAACAACGAATCATGGAACACTACATCAAAAACTAATGATGTAATGTATGGGGATTAACATAACAATAAATATATATATATATATTAAAAAAGATTCTCTCTCTGCCCGCCCGCTTCCTGCGCCCCCGCCCCCGTTTGCTCTAGCTCTCTCTCTCTCAAAATAAATAAATAAATAAATACTAAAAAAATATAGACTTTATTCTGAAGGCTACAGAGAGGTTTATGAGAGGCTGAGTTAGGGTTGGAATTGTGCTTTATTTGAAGTTAATTTTCTACTGAACTGGGCGGTAGTGTGGCTGCTAGCCTGGGGGAGCACAGCGGTGGGCATGGCTGGAGGCAGCCATATAACTGAACGCAGGCGGTGCAGTGGGGACGGAGAAGGGGCCAGGTCCACACGTATTTGGGAGTAGCACCAACAGGCCAACATAGATGTATGTTGGGGGAAAGAAGACATCAAGAATGACTACTGGGTTTGTAACTTGTGTCCCTAGGTGGGTAAAGAATGACAGCTGCCCTACAGACTTTGTCTATAATGACTCTCGTTGCCCAGAGCGGTCAATGTTCTAGGAAATAAGAAAGCAAGTGTGTGTCAGAGAGTATTATAGGAGAGGGGAGAAGAAGCAATGTGAGTATGGGAGATCTACTTTTGAGATCACAGCCACAAAACAGAATTGTAAACACTCAGCTGTCTCCTCATCACATATGCATACTTGGAGACTTTTCTTTTCCAATCCGCAGAATTCAATACTTCTGTGGCAAAGAGGGATGCTGGAGCTATGTTTTTAGAAGGGTTCACATGTAAATAGTTATGGCCTCCCAGGAAGGGTCTTTCCTGGTTGAGGTAGAGAAGTTTGGGAGAAGGCTGCTTAAACTGCAGTTGGGGAAAGAAAGAGGGATAATTAGATGAGAAATGATACTGTTAAGGCAAAGGACCCCAAAGCGGTAGGTCTCAAATGAATCGTAGTCGTGTGAGCTAACACACCTTGAAGGTGACAGGTGCTGTAGCTGGTAGTCTTGCATTTTATCATTTATCCCCATTTCACAGCATTGAAAAATGAGGCCTTAGGTCATGCAACTTGACCGAGCATGCCCAGCTACTAAGTTAGAGAGGTCAGATCTGAATGCGGCTGAAGGTGTCACAGTATGAAGCATCTCTCCTGGACCGGCCACGATTAAGACATACGATTAAGACATCTTGAAGTAAAATTAACTCACACATGAACTCTTGCGCATCTCCTCCTGCAGGGAAGTAAGTTCTGTCGCACGGGCGGTAAGTCAGTCTCCAGTGCGCCGCTGTAGACCGACTAGGGGAAGGCCTTCCTTATCGCCCTCGCCCCCCAAACAGAGCGCCTGGTGGTGCCCCCAGATGGTAGCAGCCCTCCAAATGGTTACACCCTCAGCTCCTGATGAGGGTTCCAGTAAGGTTAAGGTCGCAAGTCCTCGCCTGGCCCAGTTCTTGCATTAATTTGGAAGTAATGCTGTCTTGCCCGTTCATCGTTCCTTTTATTCCTTGGAGGCGGGCATGCTACCAAGTGAGTTTTTAGCCACTCTGAAAACAGCGGGGCTAAACCCCACTTACACCTGCCCCAGCACCTGGATGACAAGCGCCCCCTTTGCTCCCCCTGCCGCCCTCCTCCTCCTCCTTCCTTCCTTCCTTCCCAGCCTTCAGGTAACCCTGACGATGGAGGCTCAGGTACCTGCTTTCCTCTCCCACCGCCGCTAGCTTCGGGCCTGAAACGAAGCTGGGGCCCGGTCGCCCCCATCCCCCTCCCACCCCCCCCACCCCCGGGCCTCGAGCGTGTGCGCGGCGAGTGTGAGCGTCCCGGCGTGCCAACAACAGACTCACGAGCAGCCGCTTGTTGCTCCCGCTGCCGCGACGTGGGGAAGTGAAAATGAAATTGACTTTTCCGAGAAATGATGAAAGCGGCGCTGCCCGCCAATCAACAGCCGCGGCGAACTTCCGCACCTCCCGGCCGGGCCGCTCGCGCCCTCCCTCCGCCTCCACCTCCCGGTTGCACAAGCTTGAAACAAACACTGGGGAGGAAGGGCGGAGGGAGGAGGGCGGAGGGGGGAGGCGAGGGAGGGAGGGAGCCAGGCGGGGAGGAGGGCGGGGGGTGGGGGGATTTCCAGCCTCGGCTCTTCGCAGTTTCCTCTCCTTGTTTTGCTTTCGATCTGGACTGTTCTCAGGCAAGCCGGGGAGTAACTTTTAGTTTTGCTCCTGCGATTATTCAACTGACGGGCTTTCGTTTCCATTTCACACACCCTAGCAACACTTAAACCTTGCGGAATTGTATTGGTAGTGTGAAAAAGCACACTGAGAGGTAACATTTTTCAAATAATAGTTGTGACTGTGCGTGTGTGTTTTTCTCGAGGGCATGTTTGTGAGGACTGGAGGGGATGTGTGTGTGCGCGCGTCCTGATGGTTTGACACAGTGTTTTGCAGACGGAAAATGCTGGGGTTCATCAATAGTAATACCGATTTGGGGAGGAACAGCCGGCGCCCTCAGGGATCATCCGATTTTAGGGGACGCAGGTTCTGCTCCTGTTGCCGCTGCTGCTGAGGCTGCGAGGAGGAGGAGGAGGAGGTGGCGGAGGAGGAGGAGGTAGAGAGGGAGGAGGAGGAGGTTGGTGGAGGTTTGATTTCACTTTTGGATTTGCAGATGCGGAGAGGTGGCTCCATGGACACAGACCTGCTCTGTGTGATTCTGCGCCCCAGGTGGTGTGTGTGTGGGTGCAGGTCCGCTGGAGTCGGGCCTCCTTTTAAAACAAAATTGTCGCGTGCGTGTGTGTGCGCGTTTGCAGACGCCGTCGCCACCAGATGCGAAGCAGGGCAGCGGGTCTTTCTCGGTGTCCGGCGGCGGCGCCTCTCTCCGGGCAGCCCCAGCGTGAATAAGCAGGAGTCCGCCGTCCGCCCGGCTGCCTGCGCCCCGCGCCCCGGCCGGGAGAGGCGCCTCGCGCCGCGGCGAGAGGAAACTTGGTGGGGCGCCCCGCAGCGGTGCCAGGGCTCGCCGGCCCGCGGGACCGGGGGACCGGCGGCGGGCGGGCTCCGAGCGGGGCTGCGGGCCGGGCCTGGCCGGCACGCCCGGCTTCCTGGGAGCTGGGCCGCTGCCGCCACCGCCGCTGCGGAGGGACGCCGCGTCCTCCTTCCCGCCGCCAGCGTCCGGCCCGGCCCCGGGGCTTTGTCACTGCACTTGTCCCGGCGCGCGGGGGGGCTCCGGCGGCGCGTCCCGGGGGGGCGCCGCGCGGAGGGGGTCATCCGCCCCGGCCGCGGCCTAGCGCCGGGCGCCGCCGGGTCCCCGCAGGCGCCCCCGGGCCGGCCTGGCGCGCTGGGCCTGACCCGCCTCGGCTACGGAGCGGGCGAGGTGGGGGCGGGGAGCCTCCGGGGAGCGAGCGGCGCCCTGCTGGCAGGCGTGGGGGCGGGCGTCCCCCGGGGGTCCAGGGGCGCGGGCAGCGGCGGGGTGGGGACGCGAGTGCCCGCCCCGCGCCCTCCGACCCCGCTCTGGGCGCCGAGTGGCATTCGCCCGCCGGCCGAACGTGGTTGGTGCACAGCCGTGGCCGCCACTTCCTTTCCGCCTCGCCGGCCGGGCTCGCCCACCGAGCGCTGCCCGCCGCGGCCAGTCGTGGCGCCCGCCCGCCTGCGGCCGCGCTCAGTGCCCCGGCCTGGGGCCGGTCCCCGAGGGGGGCTCGGGAAGCCCCCGCAAGTTCGGAGGGCCTCTGCGTGTAACTACAGCCCTTCGCCAGGACGCGCCGGCATCTGTCTTTGGCCCCAGGTCTCGGTACGTTGGCCGCCCTACCCCCTTGCCCGGTTGGAGGGGGAGAAGGGAAGGAGGCTGGCAGCCCGAGCCGGGCGCGGGGACAGTGCTCCGGGCGCCAGCTGAGGCGCCCGGGTCCGTGGGTGTAGGCAGAAGCCTTGGGCATCAGCTGTAGGTGTGCCCCCTGGGGCCGGCACTCGGGGTGCCACGGATTAGCGGCGCGGCGTTCGCTGGTTTGCAACCGCGCAGGGGAGTGTTGGGAACTTGGGGACATTTTACCCTCTCCGTCCCTCTTGAGCCTCCGCCCTCCAGTGCGGGCGGCGGGTAGTGCTCCCCGTCCCTGGTTACGGAATAAGAAAACGCAGAGTCTTCCTACAGGAGCAAAAGTGCTGGCATTTGCCTTCTGCTACTGGCCTCCCTGTTGCCGTGACCGGGGCTGCTTTTGATGAATGGCGAGGGAGGGTGGAGGATAGTTACATTTCCTGTTGTGGATTTTCAGGAATCACCAAGGCTGCTGCTGTGTCAAGCCTGCAGGCATTTATTAGTTTTCAGACCGATTGCAAATTGCGTTGGAGCTTAGGAGCCTGCACTTTCTGGGGCTCGCAGGGCAGGTGCAGACAGGGGTCTGGTGACAGACTGAGCTCCAAAGGTGGATCGTCTTGATGTTAGATGCGCGCTCCTCTACCAGGACCTGGAGGGGGAGGGGATCCCTGTTTCACTTCAGGGGGGCACACAGATTCAGGATCCTCGAGTTTTCCCAACGCCGCATCCTTCCTTTTTTGGAAGGGGAAGGGGTCGAAATAGAAACCTAAAAAATCCTGGAAAAACTTGCCTTTTCTAAGGAAACTTCGGAGATGGAATATTTAGAAATTAAACGGGCATTTCTGCGGGGTAACCTCGGAACGTCTATTGACTGATAGATGGCAAAGTCCGGAATTTCGCCGTAATTAGTGAATGATTATAATTTATAACTCAGCCTTTGTGTAAGAAGTTAGATTTTGGCCTCTTGGATTCAGGAGTTCTGTTCTGTGATGGTTTGTAATTGCTTCCTAATATTAAACATTTATATACTTCATCCTCAGCGAGTTGTCTTTTTTCTTTTGATCTTCACAAGTTGAAGATAATTTTGCATACTTCAGACTTACTTACCTGTAAAAATGTCATCGTAATCAAAAGTAAGAGTTTGTAGTTAAACTGAAAGCAAATTATGGCAAAGAAATGATTGTCCTAAGGTCCTGACAGCTCTATGAACCATGGCCCCACTTTTCTCTAACTCTGCCTCCTGAAGTACTTTATTAGGCAGATGTTCAGTATACCAAAGCTAGTTAAGGCTGTTAAACTCACAACTAGTAGTGGAACATTCGAGACTTCAGATATTTAACTTTTGATGGGCATCCATTGCTTCATGTTTGCAAGGACACTGTCCTTTTATTCTTAGGATTATCGACTATGAGCTGTGTTGTTTCTAGAACGTTTTCACACAATTTCCTTTTGATAAAGAGCAGAACTCTAAATGGGGTATCTGGGACATGGTTCTGTTTTGTGCTTTATACCGAAGAGGGCGTAAAGCAGATGAAGGACCTTATTTATTCACTTAATAAATATTCCTGGGACATTCACTAGGCACCAGACACAGTGCTAGGCTCTGTGGGTTCAACTGGGAACAGGAAAACAACTTCCTTACCCTCTGGGGAAATTGTATTTTAGTGGGTCAGCTGATAATACACAACCGAAAGATAAATAACAGTGATTACCCTTTTGGGGTTAGTTCTATGGAAGGTGATAATAGTACTTTAAGTGCCTATCTGGTAGGGTTGCTTTGGGGAACAGAGGAGATCCTGTGTATGAAAGAAGGTTGTATAAGTTACAGCAATCTACAAATATGTAAGGCGTTAACTTTCAGAATTCTGTCATTTTTATTAATGTGAAAACGCCAGGAAATTGGGACTGTGGATTGAACACTGACTTTCTCTTACAGAATTTGCAGCAAAAAGGGATTTACTTCTGAGAGTATATGGATGATGGCAAGGAATTAAACACAGAATAGCTATTTTATGCAAAGCATCAAAGAATTTAACAGTGAAATATAATATTGTCAGTGAATTTTTTCCTGTCAGAAGAGAAGTTAGATGGTATCCATGGAGACCAAATGATATGGAAATAACAGTGATACCAATGTATTCCTTCTCTCTCTCCCTTTCTCTCTCTCCCTCTCTATATATACATATAAACATCTTTTCAGGCTCCGTGTGCTTTAGTCTGAATTTTCTTTACCATTGCTTCATTATGTTTATTACAGGTATGCCCCTAGCTGATTTTAGTATTTTGCTATAACATCTTTAAGGAAATTCGGTTAACTTTAATTTATTGAATGCTTACCGTATGCCCAACACTACGTATGTGAAAATAAATATAATAAACAGTGTATTTTTCATAAAATATAACATCTAAAAGTACATAAAGTAATATATAAACAGAATGTAAATTGCTGTGAAGTGTCAGTTTTATTAATAATAAAATCAGTTCTTCTCTTCATCTGTATGGGATGCCAGGTTCTTCTCACATGGGATAGGAGGTCAGGGCTCTCTGATGTGTCCTGCTTTTGTCCTGAATGTGATCATTGGGTGCATAGTGTCTGCCCGAGGCAGGGTTGAGGGATGTCCCTTAAGGAAGTGGCTGGTGGGAATGGAAGTGAGGAAGTTTGAATAAATCTTGATTTTTCAACAAAGATTGATAGATTGTCTGTGGTTCCAGATTTCAACGTGAAGCCAATATTTTGTGTAATATACCAAAGGAAATACACCAGCAGCAAACCCAGCCCCTGGGCAGCTGATGCCAGGCCCTAGCCTGTCCCGAGGACTCCACCAGGCCCCGCGCACTACAGGCCGCAGGCTTCCATCCGCCCGCATTTTACCTTCAAGCCTCCTTTTTCAATGATTTTCCCCCTCACCAGCTCCATCTTTTGACAGACTGTCCCTGAAATAAATTGTGTTTAGTTAGGAAGACTCTGATGCCTGTTTTTACTATGAGAATTGCAGAAGACTTCTAGGCAGAACTCCCGATTGACCTGGGAGAAATAGCATCCTCAAATTTGGTTGATCTAATTCTGGCCCAAAGTAGAGAAACTTGACGTTTTAGATCCCGGGCAGCCTTTTTTTTAGATAAACTCATAGTCCCCTTAGGCCTTCTGAGTCTGAATCTAGCCCAGGACCCCTGCTGGCAGCAGGAACTTTGAGTTCTGCTGGGGATCCAGGGATCCCAGGATGTGAACCATTGTAGTAACCCAGGCAATTATTTTATTGAATGAACACAAACATGTACCCTTCTATCTCTAATTTATTAAATACTTGCTGACAACCAGCTATGTTCAAGGCTCTGTGTAGTGCAAGGTGCGTGAACTCAAGTGTCCAGAGACCCGGAGTTGACTTTCAGCGCTTTCATTAACTCTCCCAATCACTTCTCCTTTTGGCACCTTAGTTTTCACATCTGTAAAATGGGGCTGTGTGTAGGTCTGTTATCTCTGGGGTATGGGGCTCCTGCGTGTCTCAACATCACCTGGGAGGGAAGGGGCTTTTAGAAGCCACAAGGAAATTTTAGATTTAAGACTGTCTACAAGGCCTTCCTCTCCTTGATTCTTTTACCCAAAGAACCCCCACCCCCACCCTCATAGCAAGCCTCTGTTATCTACCAGGGCCTTCTGGATCCCTGTCCCTCAGATGTGTGGGCCAGAGCGAAGGCAGAGAGCCACTGAATCAAGGATCTCTTCTCAGGGCCAGATCGTTTATTTTTTTATTGTCTCAGGCCATGCTATGCAGACCTGTTTTCCACATTTTATTTTGAGTAGGGAATCTGTGGTCACTCTCTGTTGGCTCTGTTCCTGTTGACCTTGCTTGTCATATGAAAGTGATACTAGCGTGATGATTGTGATCCTTTGAATTTTCCATTCTAAAAAGGCAAGAAAGACTTTGTTTTATGGGTATGTCTCTTGGTCTAGGAAGGCCATCAAGAGTTATGGGTTTGTTTTTTGTTTGTTTCTGTTTCAGTTCGTATTCCCCTTTATCAATGTAGTATTCAGCTCCCATAAACAAGAGAAAACTGGAGTCGAGCATCGTCCCCATTTTTATGGAAAATAAAGCTTGTGCAATTCTTTCTGATGAGGGATTCTGAGCATGTTTATCTCAAGGGCAAGGCCAATGTCGTTCAACAAAATATCTTAATTTAGGATTTTGTGTGATAAAGTTCTGTCTAATTTTCATTAAACAATATTTTTGGGAGTTAAGTACTTGCTATATAATTTTCATAAATAATTTCTCTTCAGGCATACTTAGCAATCTTTTGCTGCACTTGCGCACCCAGTGTGATGGAAGGGAAGATGAGCTTCCAATTTAATTTGTTCTTATTGAGCTTATAAATGTCAGGTTTGTGTAGGATCTAAAGAAATGTTTTATAGATAGAATACACTGTCCTGGCCCCATAATCTTAGAATCCTACGGACTTTCCCATTTCATGAGGTTGACATTTTGACTGAGAAGAGACTGCATACAAATTGCTTTTTTTCAAGTAATATCTAATGTGTTACTTTTGAAGAGAGCTTTTTTGTTCTCCCTACCCTAGAATTATTGAACAGGATGAGAAGAATTATAGTGGTGAGAAGAGTGTCCTAACACCTGGATAGGGTTAGTGGGTCCGTGGATGGGTGGGATAAGAGTGGGAGGGCATTGGAAGGTGACACTTTTGGGGGGTGAAATGATGAAAAGAGAATAAGGCATAGGGTGGAATAGTGCCTACTGAATTCTGGAGTGGGAGGGAGAGAAAAGAGGGAATCAGGCAGGTGGATTTTCTGTCTCATTAACAAATACCACTGAAGGAATTTCGGGGTGGCAGGGAGCAAGTTGGTAGTTAATTGATAACTCAAGATCAAGATGAAATACTAGAGGACCCCCCATGTCCGACTTTGGAATTAAGCCTTTTTATCCTGCCGGAGGTAAAGTCTGATGGGAAAACCACTAGACATCAGCCAACTT